GAAACGAAGAGACGAGCTGCAGCCGAAGAAGCACCGCTGTTTGTCTCCTGACTACCTGTCTGTCTCTACCTGTCTGTCTCTACCTGTCTTTCTCCTGACTACCTGTATGTCTCTACCTGTATGTCTCTACCTGTCTCTCTCGACCTGTCTCTCTCTACCTGTCTCTCTCGACCTGTCTCTCTCGACCTGTCTCTCTCGACCTGTCTCTCTCGACCTGTCTCTCTCGACCTGTCTCTCTCTACCTGTCTCCTGACTACCTGTCTGTCTCCTGTCTCAGGTGTGAGAAGTGTGGAGAAGGTTTTTCTGGAACGTGGGCCCTGAAGAGCCACATGCTGGTCCACGGTGTGGAGAAGCCCTTCATGTGTGACCTGTGTGGAAAGACCTTCTTCTATAACTGCCAGCTGCAGAAGCACCAGCAGCTGGTCCACGGGGAGAAGCAGCGTCGGGGGGGTGGCGCGGCGGGGAGGCGGAGAGAAACCGTAGAGAAACCTTTCGGCTGTAAAGTCTGTCCGAAGAGCTTCAGCAGCTCCGCCACGCTCAGGACGCACGAGAAGAGCCACGCCGAGAACAAGGAGTTCAGCTGCGACTCCTGCGGGAAGACCTTCCACCTGAGACACCTGTACCTGTACCACCTGAGGACGCACAGCGGCGAGCGGCCGCACGTCTGCGCCGTCTGCAGCAAAGGCTTCCTGTTGCAGTCGCAGCTGAAGCAGCACGAGCTGCTGCACACCGGAGAGAAGCCGCACCGCTGCCAGACCTGCGGGAAGGAGTTCAGGACGCCGCAGAACTACCACCGCCACCTGCTGGTCCACAGCGGAGAGAAACCCTACGCTTGCTCCGTCTGCAGCAGGAAGTTCAGGCAGTCCAACCAGCTGAAGTCTCACATGCAGATCCACACCGGCGTCAAGCTGTACTCCTGCCAGCGCTGCAACCACGGCTTCTCCGACTCCAGACAGCTGAAGAAGCACCGCTGCGGAGACGAGCTGCAGCCGAAGAAGCACCGCTGAGGAGACGAGGAGACGAGCTGCAGCCGAAGAAGCACCGCTGAGGAAACGAGGAGACGAACTGCAGCCGAAAAAGCCCCGCTGAGGAGACGAGCTGCAGCTGAAGAAGCACCGCTGAGGAAACGAGGAGAAGAACTGCAGCCGAAGAAGCACCGCTGAGGAGACGAGCTGCAGCCGAAGAAGCACCGACGAGGAGACGAGCTGCAGCCGAAGAAGCACCGCTGAGGAGACGAGCTGCAGCCGAAGAAGCACCGCTGAGGAAACGAAGAGACGAGCTGCAGCCGAAGAAGCACCGCTGAGGAGACGAGGAGACGAGCTTCAGCCGAAGAAGCACCGCTGAGGAGATGA